GTCTCCTCGCTAGCTGTTTGTTATTGCTCACAGTGGTCCGAGGTTGGATACTTGATCGTCATGTGGTACGTGGATACGACCGCCTGGAATGCATTTAAGCTCGTTCTCCCCATTATGATGTTGTAAGATGATTAAGCTCCTACGACCACAAATCATACCATCCGAACCTTCCGGGTCACTCCTTTTCTCAGAGCTACAGATAGACTTACTTCTCCCATTGGCATAACTTCTCTGCCATTAAAACCGTACAGTGCCGTAGCCACCGACTTGAACTCAACATTCAACTCCTGATTGATTTGTACAAAACAATCATAGAACATGACATCGACCGAACTTCCCGTGTCTATAAACACCGTTTTCACATCGAAACCTGCAACTTCCGCCATAATCACCAAGGCATCATTATGAGGTATCACCACCCCTGCTGCATCCTCCGCCCGAAAACTAATCTCTGGTACTCGGGCCGTGATACCCACTTTCTCTCTTTTCCTCTTCATCGCTCGAACATGCCCTTTCCTAGCATTGTTCGAGTCTCCGTCTGTCGGTCCACCTGAGATCATATATATCGTGCCTCTCTTCACCTGGCCTTCATCTCCTTGTTTCTCTCGATCTCTACTTCCTCGCCTTCTCTTCCCCTCCTCTCTTTTTCGACCATCTCGAACTCCTCGAGGATCCTCTTAATCATTCTCATTGCGATCGCTCCTCTCCACCGATTCCTCCTGGCACCTCCTCTTCTCCTTTTCCCTCACCTTATCCTGATAAACGAACTCCTTGAGATGCCCTGCTCGGATAAGGCACTCGATTTAATCTTTGAGGTGTCGACAATCCTCGGTGGTATGGCCATATTCTTTGTGAAAGCGGCAATATCTCCTCGACTTAGGCTGGGTTGGCCCCTCGAACTTCGACCGCGGCCACGTCACATCTTTCCCATCTATCCTCTTCTCCATAGCTATCAAGACTTCGGCCACCTTCGCATTTAATGGGGTATAATCATGGAATCTCTTTCCTCCAGAGATAGGTCGATCCTTCCACCTGTCCTCGCGTCCTCGATCCTTTTTAGTTCGCCCCTCCCTCCTGGGTGAAGCTCTCCTTTTGGGCGAAACTGCCTTCTCCTTCTTTGGCTACGACCTAACTCCTCGAGTTTGGCAAACTCCGCCTCGGTCTCCTCGAGGTTAATATATTTCCTGTACCTTTTCAACACCTCATCATAAGTACGAACCGGGGTCTTGGCCAGAGACGTCCGACATGGCCCCGCTCGTACACTTATAATCAACCCTCCTGCCTTGACCTCATCGACCGCCGACGGGATTTCCAAACATGCCTGGTTGTATCGGGCTACATATTTGCGCAGTGACTCCTTATTGCCTTGCCTCATCGCCATCAGGGTTAAGTACGTCTTCTCCTGATCCACCGCGCTCGAATATTGATTCGTCAACTTCTCCGCAAAATCCTCGAAATCTACAATCGAACCTGGGAGAAGCTGCTGGAACCAATCGAGGGCTCCTCCTCTCAAGGTCGATAAAAATGCCCTGCAACTAACGGGGTCAGTATATCCATGTAACACAGCCATATTTTTGAACGTTCTCACATGCCTCGACGGGTCAGCAGTCCCATCGAACACCAAGTTGGTATTCTTGAAGTTGGCTGGCAAGGGCGCTGCTAGTATGTCCGTCGAGAACGGGTGTCCTCGAGCGCGTCTCTCTGTTCGACCATCCACCTTGGCCTGCAATTGACGTAGCTGCTCAGCCATTCTCTCCATTTCTCGATCATGTGAGGGCCCACCTCCACCGTAGCTGGATTCATCCTCCTCTGCATTTTGGCGTGACCCCGCCACAGTGGTCGGTACCGTGGTAGCACGAGAGAGACTATTTGTGACTTGTTGCACCGCCTGCGCAGCTGGATCCGCCAATTTTTTGTTGTTTTTCCTGTCTGGTCATCACTACCTGCTGGCCAGGGGCTTACACCACTGCCTGTGGTGGTGCTCCTCCTTGCCCCACCGTTCCTCCTGTTTGCGCCACCGTTCCTCCTGGTTGCGCCACCACCGGGTTCTAGGGCGGTGGCGGTGGCATCGCCGCCGCAGCTGCTGCGCAAGCCTCCTGGGCACGACTGGAGCTCGCATTTCCTCTGGGCACCGCTGTCGACGCTCCCACGCCTTGAAGGACGGGCGTAGAAGTGATAGGCGTTTGCGAAAAGTCGGAGAAACCCGGAGGAGGGCCTTGCCCAATCGGCCTGGTCGTCGCCCAAGCGTCGTCGAACGTCGACTGCAAATTGGTTCTGGGAATTCCATCCGCCATAGCTGAGCTTCAAACACAACCTTTTGAACAAAAGTCCCCACAGACGGCGCCAAATGGTAACACAAAACCTCCCGACCGGCTGGAACTTGAATACTCTCCTTCCTTCTTGCCGGTTGAACGTCGTGCACCTACAAAGAACTCTCACACCGGAGGGGTTTTCCGGTGAAGTGCCTCCGAAGCTTAAGTCAGTGTATATTCAATCAATTCTCAAGTGTAAGTAGTAGAATGATCGTGTTGAAG